GGAAACCCTAGGTAGGGCCTAATTCAATCCTTATTCCTTATAAAATAAGGGTAGATATATAGGTACATCTATAAGTATAGAGCCTAATGATGAAACAAAATATTTGTTTTTACATAACACATTTTTCAACATAATCTCCTTACTTGTTAAAGCACTTGTTTTTCAACATAATCTTATTGCTTGTTAATGCACTTAATACAGTGTTAAATATTAATCACATAGATTGAACATTATACAGTGAAATATTTCAGATTTTCATCATCTCTTTCCTTGTTAATGCACTTAATACAGTGGTAAATATTAATCATATAGACTGAACATTATACAGTGAAATATTTCAGATTTTCATCTCTTTCCTTTTTAATGTACTTAATACAGTGGTAAATATTAATCATATAGACTGAACATTATACAGTGAAATATTTCAGATTTTCATCATCTCTTTCCTTTTTAATGTACTTAATACAGTGGTAAATATTAATCATATAGACTGAACATTATACAGTGAAATATTTCAGATTTTCATCATCTCTTTCCTTGTTAATGCACTTAATACAGTGGTAAATATTAATCATATAGACTGAACATTATACAGTGAAATATTTCAGATTTTCATCTCTTTCCTTTTTAATGTACTTAATACAGTGGTAAATATTAATCATATAGACTGAACATTATACAGTGAAATATTTCAGATTTTCATCATCTCTTTCCTTTTTAATGTACTTAATACAGTGGTAAATATTAATCATATAGACTGAACATTATACAGTGAAATATTTCAGATTTTCAACATAATCTCTTTCCTTGTTAATGCACTTAATATAGTGGTAAATACTAATCACATAAAAAAAATGTTATACACTGAAAAATTTCAGAGCAAAATTCATTTAACTGCATGTCAGGTTACGAACTTGTATCCACATATATAAAACAATGTATATCCATATTATTTTTTTATGTGCAAAACTTTTCACAGTGTAAACTCTGATCTTAGGCAGAAGTGCTGGGGAATTACACGTTCATCATAGACAGAGCACATAGAGCCTAGTCAAAAGTGACAATGCATACGAAAATAATAGTTTTTTTTTTTTAATGTTTACTATATGTGTATATCAGATGTTTGCATAGTGTAGTAGTTATCAGTGCAGAAATCAAAATTGGCATGTCAAGTTAAAAAAATTCCATCTTAGACAGTTGCATTCACTTTGGGACAAATACCCTGGAAAAAGGTATGAATCTACCCATTCTCCACCTGCTAGGGCTTGATAGCAGGGCAAACTGAACTCTTTAGGCAACCAATCTAAGAGAAGGATAACTCAAACCCGGCTCTCTATGGAAACCAAAGCAACAACACCTAGGTGGGGTATTCCCCCACGGACTTTATACTCCAAAGGAAAGTTTAGGATAAAAAAAGTAAAACATATATAGGGCACATGGTATCAATTACGGCTGAGTAGTGAGTTCGATTCTCACTGGGTTCACCCTCCTTTCGGCCACATCTAAGCTATGCTTAAACAGTAAGCACTAAACACTATATAAAACATGTATTTGTATGTCGTATTGAAGTAAATATCAAAATCCCGCTCTTTAGTTAGCTGAGGTAAGATATGTCTGTATTTCTGGTACTTAAGGAAACAATTAAAACAGAAAAGAATGCAATGCAGGACGTTGTGGTAAAACACAGCTGCACTCACTTAAAACAAATAACATTGTAATTCAACGCACACCTGTTGTAAATTCAAAATAAATATTTGTTGTATACCTTGCCTATTTTTTGTCACACCTGACACACATGCTGTCGAATTTTTTTCAATCTATATTCTCTATGACATAACAATTGTCACAGATGTAGGTAGGCTTGGCACCGACAAGACATCAAAAATATAAATACACAATACCGTACCTTTATTTTAGCAATTTAACTTTTCCGGTTACAAATAATGACACGTTTCATTTCTTTCTGACATTGTGTTTAAAAACCTAGTAACCTACCTGCTACAGTACTACATACGTAAATTTAAATTTAGTGTCATTTCAGCTTAAAAAAAAAAACGAATTCATGTCGTTTTTTTCTTTTTTACCTGTGCAGTTATAGTTAGTGGTAATATTTTTTTAAGGATCTTCTTGTGTAATCAAAGATTTTTGCTTAAATAAAAATGACGAAATTATTTTCATATTTATTTAACTTTGCATTTTGTTTCAGAATTGCTATCCAACAAAAGACGTTAAGACATTTCAAATTTGTACTTTTTCTATAAGACTGATGTTTGTTTGTTGTTTTTTTTTCTCAGGAATAGAAAGAAACTTGACGTTCGCTTGTTATGCTCCGGGATTGTAAAATTTAAATACAATCCCCTAAACAAACCAGTTTTTTTCTTAAGAAATTACACGTGTAATTTATTAGCAATAAAAATATTTAAATATTTGTTTAAATTTTAAATATTGCTAAATACACGTGTAAATTTTAAAAGGCTTAGGTTTCATTAAGAAATTGTTTTACTTTCTTGTAGTGAAAAATTCAGTTCAAACATTTGACAATGTATCGAAAATTTGTGAAGGTACCTTGTAACAATAAATATTTCTATATAAAACTTTTGTGCTTTTTTGTGTTTTAAAGGTTCAGGCAGCAAGCGGAAACAAAGGAATTAAAAAATTTCAATTATGAAAAATAAAAAACGCAATCTCCATATTCTTCAATCAAATAAAAAAAGAAAAAAAACCTAGTTTTTATTAGTATTTTCCGGCTGACAATTCAAGTGTTAAATCCTGAATAATTCGATGTTGTATTTAAATTATTTTTTTACGATAAAAACATTGTAGTCGTCAGCATTATAGCAAAAACACACAATTATTTTTTTTAAGACATTACGTCTTTGAGACGGTCAACGCATTCGTACTGTTAAAAAATGTTATGTTGTTTTGATGTTGAGAATAAAGACAAAAGGCAAACAGGCTAATAATTTTTTAGTAAAAAAATCCTACAATTTGGTGAAACTAAATAAGAGAGAAACAAGAATGAGAGAAGAACGAGAAAATACACAACATAAAAATAATGAATGAATGAAATGTGAAGCAAAGCTAGTGAAAATGGAAATCAACAACACATAAAACAATCTGTGGAATAAATAAAGAAAGAAGATATAGACCCACCTTGAGTGCGTGTGTGTGTGTGTTTAACGAAAAGAGGAAGAGAGAAAAAAAGAGAGAGAGAAAGGAAAGACGGCCACTCTCACTGTATTATGATTAGTAGTAGTCTTCTTCTTTGATCAGACTGATATTGTGAATACTAAAATTTTTACCTAGCTTGTCATACACAGGCACACCCTTAAACACAGTGGCAGTAGTCGTAAGCTAAAAAGGTGGGGCCAAAAGCTAAAAAGGCCTACAGCCGAGATGATTGACACGTATCAATAGTTAGAGGACAGAGATCAATATCGTCGACAATTACGACTGATAGCGACAAACGATCGGCAGCTGTTAGCTTCTCTCCGTCAATCAGTTTTTTAATGTCCATGGCTGATCGATCAGTATTGTTGATGAGTGAAGAAAAGTTATTGTATTGTAGTGTTGTACTAATTTTGTGAAAAGACAGAGAAAAAAAAGTGATGTCGTAGTTATCGGCTTTTTTTCTCATGTGACATTTACAACGGACGACAAAAGCAATAATGAGAAAATAGCAGTTTCAAATTATGCATAACTTAAATGAGACTGTATTAATTCATTATTAATTTTATTGTGGGGAGACATGAAAAGCAAGACATGGAGGAGGATCAAGTTGTGGGCGTGCTTATCATCTGATCATGATTGACACATTCGACATACGGAGATAGGCGAGGCTAATGTCTTGAATCTGAAAATGTTAATTGCATTTAGCTTGTGTAAATTAATACACTCGGATTTCTATTTTAAAATTTAAGTAATAGTGTGTACGCGTTTATATACACACGCGTATGAACGCCAAACGATGTGCAAAAAATCAATTATTGGAGTGAAGGAAAATAAATTAAAAAGGAAAGGAAAGAAATTTAAAACAACAAAAAGTGTAGCCAGTTTTTAAAAGATTTCTACTTTTTTACGTTTGATACAGTTTGTTTTTTTTTAAATTTCTATTGTTCAGTAAATTTGTGCGTATTTTGTCACTTGGATGATTGTACGCAAGTAGTCTAAACGCTAATGTTTGCAATGTAAATGTTTTGTTTTTTTTTTGTTTTGTAACGTACTGAAAACATGTCATTTATCATGTCACTTTACGATTTTGTTCATTACAGTAGTTTAGAGGCAAGATACCCCTTTTTCGTATTTTGTACACATAACAGTTTAACTAACTAACACTAACAAATGTTTGACTACTGCTTTACCGGACATACATGGGAGTCAAGTCGATCGGCATTCACTAGTAAGCGATACTTAATTAATTATAATTAAATTCAACCGAAATGTAATAAGATAAAGTAACACTTGTAAAGTTTAATTATTAGTGATCCGATTGTTCAATAAGACCTGAGATGTATTTGCCAAAATATCGTGATGAGATTGCATCACTATTTTTTTAGTTATTCCATTTTTAGTCAAAGCGAAAGTCATTGTCTTCTTCCAGGATAGTTTGCCAAGTAAACTGTAGTCAAGCCTTCCAAAATATGTCCAAATAAAATAGATAAAAAGAAAATTACTTTTGTCTACTTGAAACAGTTGTTTTTGCTTTGTTTTTTTTGGTTTTTTTTTTTTTTTTTTTGGGTTTTTAGATTGATTTTTTGTTTATTACGGCTTATCAACCTATTTTTTTTTACAGATTAAAAAGACAAAATATTTTTAGATTGTAAGAATTTTTTGGAAATAATGGTTTATACAAGTTTTACGAATACCGATAGCTGATGGGATTCATCGCGCCTTTCCCAAGGATATTTGTCAATACAATAAGTGAATATAACGAACTCCACTAGAATTGGAACTCCGAACTCGGCTATCCGATTTCCAATTCCAAGCCGCACAGACAAGCTTATAGCACCTAGTATTCCCAAGCGGTCACCCATCTAGGTACTTGCTTAACTTTGGCGATCGTATGAGAACCGGTGTTTCATCGTGATATGGCCGCAAGTCGACAGTTTCCTAGAGTCTCTGTATTTACAAACTACAAAGTAAGTTATTAAATAAAGTGGGAGATATATTTTCTATTAGTGTTTAAGCAGAAAAAAAAAGAAAAAAGAAAGAAAGATCATGAATTTATTTTTTTTTTTTACAAATCTCTTTAAAACTCATAATAATTGACATATCATTTTTGAAGTTTTAATTGCAAGAAAATAGCGTAAAATTAGTGGCAAAGATTTGCGTATTTAAATCAGCTCTGAAACTGTTTTTAATTCTATATATTTTGTTTAGTCAATTTTTGATAGCCATAAAAATTTACTCGATTACGCTATGACTGATGTCAGCTAACAGAAAAGAAAATTTTCGAAAATTAAAATAGCCGTTAGCGAAATAGAATTTCGTGGAAATTTAATAATTATTTAAATGGATTTTTAAAAAAAATGATAAAGATTACTTTTTTTTTTTTTTTTACTAAAAAAATATTGTGAAAATATATTTGTTTTCAGCAGGTAACTTTAATTTCATTTAAAGGTCAAGTGAACTTTGGATCAAGTTTCCTTAACTATAAATGATGAAAACCGGCGTAAATTTACGAGCGTCTCATCTTATAGGACTACTCAATTATGGATGACCTAAAATGACAAAACCTGATATTACTCCCGATACCAAAAGTATATTCCTAACATGAAAACATGACGGATGAATAACTCCTAAATGGAGTCTGAAAACCTTTTGTAATGTTTTACTGTCAATTCGGACTCCCAGTTTTGATAATAGTTTTATTTCCATACGTATTCGGAGTTTTACAGATTTTACGAGCATGTATTTGTTTCTGAGTGTCTGGTTACTCTTATTTTATTGTTTTATGTGTGAGATTTTGCAGGTGCATGCAATTTGCCATAATCCCTCAAATTTCTGAGATCTGGGGTGAGTGCGTAATAATAAAAACTCCCTTCAACCACATCCTTCAAATTCGGAGGACCAAGGAGGAATAAGGAGGGAAAGAATTCGTGAGCCTATGTGAAATTGTTTTCCACCAATGAAAACCTCGCCTTTCACAGAAATTAACCAGTAAACTGAGGAAGAAGAAGGTAAGAAATTCGCGAGCCAATATGAAATTGTTTTTGGACCAATGAAAACCTTGCCTTCACAGAAATTGTTCGTTCAGTAAAGAGGAAGAAGGAAAGAAAGTAACGAGCCTATGTGAAATTCTTTTTTATATAAAATGAGGAGAAAAAATAAATTAATAGAAAGAATGTCTGAAGTCATGTGAAATGTTTCGTTTCATTTCATCGCAACCAGCGTTGAGGTACTCGCCAGTGTAAAATTAATCGTCAATTATATTATTGGCCTCTAATTAGCACGCGGCACTTCAAAGAATTTTCTCTCAGCAATACAAGAAAGCTAATTATTTCAAACTATCTCTCTTCGTCTACTTTTGAATTTATGCAGACCATATATCCATTTGATGTCCAACGAACTCTCTTACCGTTACGTCTTAAACATTTTTGAATATTATTTGATGTCAGATTATTTAATCTGTTGTGTGAACATTTCCTCTTCATGACAATACGTTAAAACTACGGATTATAAGAATTCTGATTTATTTTCCTGAAACAAGCTATGGACACTACTTCAAGCGTGTAAATTCGTGAATACAGCCCCAATCTTGTTTTGTTAAAAAAATTACTTGGTGTTTCCTCATCATTATTATCCTACATTAATCTTCTTGGCGTGGGTAAATTAACTGTTCATTTTAATCCCTAAGCCCCACGCCACTATAAGAGAACTCTTAGAAATCTATCTTTCAATAAAACAATTCAAGGTATATACTTGTGGGTCGATCATTTATAATTTACACTGGCCACAAACCCTTAGCACACACATTGTCTTCACACACTGACAAGAACGCATCCCAAAGAAACTCATTACCTGGACTATATATCACAATTCTCAACTGATATAGAACATATCAAAGGTATCTAAAAGATTGTTGCAGACTCACTCTTTCGAACTGATACACATTTTTCATCACCCAAGATATCCTCAGTCACGACTTAAGTGCCTACGAGCAAGAACAATATCCTACTTTACAAGAAGTAATAAAGCAAAGATCTTTACAACTAACAAAAGTACAAGTATCATTTAGTGAAAAGACTAGGCAACTAGGGCAGTCGCCCGGAATGCCATCAAGGCCGAGGGCGCCATAATACTGCCATGTCATGAGTTTGCGATCTTACAAAACTAAAGCTTATAAAAGCATACATGCGGTCGTCTATGACTCAAGAAGACAGATTAGTTTCTTTCGCTATTTTGTCACTAGAAATTACCCATGTGTTTCCTTATCATTATCATCGTTCATTAATATTCTTGGCCTGCGTAAATCAACTGTTCATTTTAAATCCCTAAGCCACACACCACTATAGATCAAAGCCGTCTTGTGCAGGTAGGTTTTTATTTTTAACATTTTTCTACACAGCAAAATTTAAATATCTTTAGAATACGCGCCCCATATCTGCAGATCTCCTTTCCTATACTCTATACTTTACAGTTAGAGTAGCAAACTATAAAAGAAAAAGATTTCGAATAAATAAAAGAAAAAAAAAAAAGTGATGTCGACACCGAACAGTTTATTTTATCTGTGTGAGTTCAATCCTTGTTGAGTGCCACATTGCTGCGACCTTAAATAAGGTACTTGTTTAAAATGTTACGATTAAAAAACTATTAATGTATATTTTTGTGGATTCAGTTAAAAGATATTGGGAAGAATGAAGATCAAGCGTCAAGGCACACTGTAAAATAAATGATGAAAGATACTCAATGAGATATAAAACCAAAACAATTTTATTAAAATAAAATAAAATTTTTATTAAATATTAGGGATGTACAAATTTGGTGGTTTGTGTGCTGGGAAAAGGGGGATAATAAATTTCTGGACTTATTTTTTCTAAAATAAGGTTCAATTGTAGTTGTGGGAAAAAGATCAAGTTTACAATTAAAATCAATCAGATAACATGAAATATCACAAGACAAATGCGAGCGTATACAAAACAATACAAATTACAAGGAAGAAAGTACGATAAAAGGGTTTCAGTGAGGTTGAACCCAGTTAAAAGGGTATATTTACCTTGAAGGTATAAAATGTGAATGTTCTTAATAGTTCTTTGATTTGAAGTGAATTGTCGAAGATCGTGACAGAATCTGCTCGTGCCTCTTGAGTTCAGAGTCTTCATCGTAGAGCGCTGTTTTGAGAACAGTACTTGTTTTCTGTCGTGGAAACGAATATTTTATTACAATAGTCGGGGTGAAAATAAGACTTAATTCTGTCGTGAAAGCGACAATTTGGCTGTCAAGACTTCGTTGAGGAGTCGGTTTCGCAACCGCTTCTTTAAGTCTACGCTTGGTCAGGATTTCAGATGTTTTGGAAGGTGTTACTGTTGTGTCTCCAACTCCCGGCATCGTGTCTCTCATTCTTGCTGATGGTTGTATTGCAAAGGTCGGCTACGATTTAACCAAAACATTTTAGCGATCAGCACAAGAATATCAGATTTCAACCGGCTCGAATAGCCATCGGTTAAAAAATCACATTTATCCAAACAATTTATTGTAGTAGACAAAATCACTTCTGTTTTTTTTCCCTTTCCTTCACATTCATTTGCCACCCCCCCACTCCTTGGTCAAGGAGCTTTTCACGCTGAGTGGCAAGGTTCAGGTTTCTGTAATTATTTTATTACCTTCATCCTTTCCTTCAAACAACCGAGAGCCGAAATTTTTAGCATTCTTAAGATTTTAAGAAGAATAACATGAAACCCGTGAAAAGTATGATAACATTAAGGAGTAGATAGGTTCGCCTATCGTCCTGTTCAAACTCATCCCATGTCTTTTGAACAGGAGTAGAGGTTTATCCCTGTTTAGAATTGGGTTTTTGTATCCTTCTTTTTCATTTTCTTTCACTCCCAGAAGCCCCTTGCATATTTGTGGTATTATCGTTTTATTTGGGGTGAATTAATTTAAAAAAAAAATGAAGTTAATGTTAGCAAATCTCTCTAACCTGCCATGTGTAAATGAACTAAATTTAAAATTTTAGCCCAAATTTAAAGTGATCCTGTTTATTACAACATACTTTGGGGTTAGGTTACTTATTGCTCTTTTTATAATTTTCTTCCTATTATTCAACAGCTTTTCTGCGGTACGATGAGTACAGATTTGGGTTAATTTAAAAAAAAAAATACGACGTAAAATGCGTGGCTGTAATTCTAATTATTGAAATAATCGGGTAGTAGACGATCTTGCAAATGTAAAAGCATTGATGAATTATCGGTCGATCTGTTCGCATTTCGAGCTGAAAATGAAGCACACACACAGAAACACACACACACACACGCACGAACACAGAGGATTCGTTGAAACACAGTTGTCGTAGATGAAGCGATTTTTAAAGCAACCTTTTGTAAGGAAGAATTGTCCAAGGACACAAAGTGATTTTATCAGGAAATTTATTCTGTTGTGGTAGATTTTATTTCATTTCTTTTTCGACAACACATGAACGATTTTAATAATATCCTCAATATGCTGTCAAGACCTTTAGGTTAATTTGGGTGTGGGGGGGGGATTATGTCACGTATGTAGGCACAGTGCCTCAAAATAATTAGTGGAAGTGGGGGTAGCTAAATTAGATGTTAAAAGTAAGAATGTTAAGTGACTTAAGTCAGATGTCAAGTTTTAATAGCTGATTCTTTCTTTCTTTCTCTCTCTCCCTCTCTCTCTTTCTTTTTCTCTCTCTCTTTCTCTCTATCTATCTCCCTCTCTCTCTCTCTCTCTATATATATATATATATATATATTGGGTTTCTGGGGCACATAACGAGGAAGGGGGGCTTGGAAAATCTGATACTCACAGGACGTATAGAGGGCAAGCAGAACAGGAGAGCAACTCATAACATACTTGAGTAAATGGATGGCGGAACAGCACTTAGGGTAAATAAAATAAAGAGCTACAAAGGACAGGAA